AGAAGAAACTCCTGGCTCCTGGCTTTGGATTGGCTCTGCTCTGGCATTTGTGGCTATTCTGGGAGTGAAACTAGCCACTATTGGTAATTATATCCATACCAACTCTGGCATTGAAGTTGAAGATCTGTAATCCTCTCATTTAATGGCAAGAATTGCATTAGGTCCTAGCCAAATGCTGCCATCCATCCTCGGTGTGAAGTGTGTGCCTAGGAAAGGAAACTGGGTATCTGGGATCTGATAAATGTTTTCTTTCACAAGATAGCTTTTATTCTGGCTTCAAGAGAGCAGATATCTCCCCAGAATGGTCCAACTTGAGGATTAGAACTGCAGCTGCTCAACTCTACAATACGGCCTGAGTAAAGCCCCACACATATCACAACATATTGACTCCAAACTTCTGCTCCTTCTGTATTCTTTACAACAATTGGATGTTTCATTGTACCTTCATTCCTTAAAGGGATTTCTTTAGCCATTTCACTTTTTAAAATATTTCTTTATTGGAAAGGCAAATCAGACTTGTAGGGAGAAGGAGACACAGAGAGATCTTCCATCTGCTGGTTCACTCCCCAAGTGGCCTCAACAGCTAGAGCTGGGTCAACCTGAAACCAGGAGCTTCTTCAGATCTCCCATGCTGGTGCAGGGTCCCAAGGCTTTGGGCCATCCTCCACTGCTTTCCCAGGCCATAAGCAGGGAGCTGGATGGGAAGTGGAGCAGCCAGGACATGAACCGGCACCCATATGGGATCCCAGAATGTGTAAAGCAAGGACTTCACGCACACTCTTGGGACAATATTAAAATGAAGGTTGGCTACAGTTTCAATGATTTAATCCTCTAAAATTCATACGCTGGCATTTCAACTCCAAGGTCACAGCATTAAGAGGTGTGACCAGGGTGGGGATTTGACACAGTTAGGCAGTTGTTTGCTGTCTGGGATGCCCACAGCCTGTATCATCACAGCGCTGGTTTGAGCCCCAGCTTCCTGCTAATGTGTATCCTGGGAGGCAGCTTCTGCCCCCACAAGGGAGACCTAAATCGAAGCCTGGGCCCCTGGCTTTGGCTCTGCCCAGCTCCGGCTATCACACACAGGAATTTGGGGAGTGAAGATCTCTCTTCTGGCTCTTTCACTGTGCATGTAAATATGAGGAAAAATAAGTAACCAAAAAAAGGGGTGGGGGAATTGGGAGACAGACCATAAGGATGGACAGTGCCCATCCCTTCTGCTGTCCATTGTGGAGATGGATCAGCAGGTGCCATGCAGGGAGTGAAGTGTCACTGTACTGGACAGAAATATGCCCGTGTCCTGACCTTGACTTTGTAGCCTCCAGTGTTGAAAATACATTGTTCTCCTTTTCAGTTACTCCCTTTGCAGGAGTTGGCTGCAGCAGGAAGGAACCAAGCAGCTCCCTCTTCTCTAAGGCCAAGGCCATGCTCCACAAACGCCAGTCACTCCAGCTCTGCCCAGCTTGAATCTCTATCTGCTGTAATTGCTGGCCTGTTTGGGTTCTCTATCCCTCTGACAATGCTTGGGACATTAAGACTCACCTCATTTGTTCCTCTTTTCATAGTTACTACAGTCCAGCCAATCAGTGTAGTGAGGACATATAAAATTCTTTTTCAGGGCCCAGTGCAATAGCCTACTAGTTAAATCCTAGTCTTGAATCTGCTGGGATCCCATATGAGCACCAGTTCACGTCTCAGCTGCTCCATTTCCCATCCAGCTCCGTGTTTGTAGCCTGGGAAGGCAGTGGAGGACAGCCCAAGGGCTTGAAACCCTGCACCCACAAGGGAGACCTGGAAGAAACTCCTGGCTCCTGCTTTCAGACTGGCTCAGCTCTGGCCACTGCAGCCACTTGGGGAATGAACTAGCAGGGAGATCTTTCTCTTTGTATCTCATTCTCTCTATCTGTCCTTCCAATTAAAAAACATCTTTTTAAAAACTCACGTTTTCAAAGGCTGGAGTGAGAGGCGAGTCATTGTTTCCACAGTAAAGAAAGGAGAAGGGGGGTGGTAGAAGCAGATGCGAGGCGTCTGCTCCAGTGGACCATGTGATAGGGCGGTGAGTTCCATTGTCAAAAAGAAGGACGCTATTCCCCGGCCTCAGAGTCAAGGGCAAGCCAGAGGGACTCCAGGATGGAGTGATACAGTGTGTGTGATAGTGACACTCAAAGAGACAACACGGCAACAAAAAGCAAGTCTCTCCCCTACCTTTTTCCTCTTCATCCTATGAAGTCTTGCTGTGTAGAACCAATTCGTGCCTAGCCCTTGAGTGACATGTAGGGCTGGCTGCTCCCAGTGCTTTGTTGCTTCTCTTGAGAAAACTCATACTTCCAGACATCTAAAACCCAAAAGCAGCTTTATTTCAGTAATTAAAATTTCACTTCTGGGGCCAGAACCATGGTGTATGTAGTACAGTAAGCTTTTGTCTGAGATACTGGCATCCCACACAGGCACAGTTTGAGTCCTAACTGCTCCACTTCTGATCCAACTCCCTGCTTATGGCCTGGGAAAGCAACAGAGGGTGGTCCAAGTCCTTGGGATCCTGCACACACGTGGGAGACTTGGAAGAAGCTGTGGCCATTTGGAAAGTGAACCAATGGATGGATGAATAGACAAGTGATTGGCCAATCTGAGTAATCCCATTGGGCTCTGAGACCCTGGAGGTAGTCTCTACTTGTCTGTTACTTGGCCTTGGAGCAGTAACTGGGATGGATCTGATCTGTGACAGCCCCATAGGGGAAGTTTTCTGAGGATGTTGGAGGGCCTCAAAACTGGCTCAGTGCAACGTTAAAGGGACTGGTGTTGTGGCACAGTAACCTAAGCTGCCGCTCACAATGCCATTGTTCTTCATCAGAGCATGAGTTCGAGTCCTGGCTGCTTTGCTTCCCATCCAGCTGCTTGCCTTTGTGCCTGGAAAAGCAGCTGATGATGGCCCAAGTGGGCTCTGCATTCATATGAAAGATCTGGACCAATGCAGCCATTTGCAGATTTAACCAGTGGTTGGAAGATCTCTTTCTCTCTTCCTGCCAAGGCCTCAAGACAGTCACCTTGCCTTGGTAACAGATTCTCTCCAACAGGCATCTTTTTTTTTTTTTTTAATTTTTACTTGTTTTCATTTTTTAAAAGTATTTACTTGGGCCCAGCGGTGTGGCCTAGCAGCTAAGTCCTTGCCTTGAATGCACCTGGGGGATTCCATATGGGCGCCGGTTCTGGTCCCGGCAGCTCCACTTCTCATCCAGCTCCCTGCTTGTGGCCTGGGAAAGCAGTCAAAGACGGCCCAATGCTTTGGGATCCTGCACCTGTGTGGGAGACCTGGAAGAGGTTCCTGGCTCCTGGCTTCAGATTAGCACAGCACCAGCCATTGCAGTCACTTGGGGAGTGAATCATCGGATGCAAGATCTTCCTCTCTGTCTCTCCTCCTCTCTGTATATCTGACTTTGTAAGAAAAACAAATAAATCTTTTTAAAAAAAGTATTTACTTACTTTTATTTGGAAGGCAGAATTATAGAGAAAAAGTTGAGATAGATTGAGAGAGAGATCTTTCATTCACTAGTTTACTTCCCAAATGGCCACAATGGCCAGAGCTGGGCCTGTCAGAAGCCAGGAGCCTGGTACTTCCTCTTATCTTCCACATGGGTGCAGGGGCTTCTCAGAACTGATGGGAAGTGGAGTAGCCAGGACCCGAACCTGGGTCCATGTGGAATCCCTGTGCTCAAGGCGGAGGCTTAACTAGCTACACATTGGCACCTGTCCCTCAAGAGAGCCTCAGTTATTCACAGCAGGACGCTGAGTACACCAAGCCCTAAGCCCATGGAGGGTGGGCTAAGCAGATGCAGAGCTGAAAAGAGGACCAGGGTTTTCCAAGGTTACTGAATGAAGGATTATGCAAGCCCCTCTATTAGCCCAAACCACAAGAATCCCTGTGCTGGGATGCAAAAATTCAAGGAGTCATTATGGCATTTGGCAATAAAGATAAATCTGCTGGATGCCACATTATAACAAGCACATTAAAATGTTCATCATGGTGGGGGGTGGCTGCCATGATGATTCAAATGGCTAATCCTCTACCTCCAAGCATCAGAATACCATTTGGGAACCGGCTCATGTCCTGGGGAGTGAACCCACAAATGGGAGCCCTTCCTCTCTGTCTCTCCTCCTCTCTGTTTATCTGACTTTCCAATAAATAAATACATCTTAAAAAAAATGTTCATGTTGGGCGTACAACTGTCCTCTTGTCTGAGGTTCCCATATGGCTCATCAGGGCTCTGGGCTTTGGACTTTCCTCTGGTCCAGAATGAGCCCTGGCAGCTTTTCCGCAGGGGAGTGGGAACCTCCAAGGAAAGGCCTTCCTTAGGGGGCAGCCCTTCAGCGGCGCCTTGTATGAGTCAATGAAAAAGCCTGGCCGGAGGGAGGCATGGAGTGCCAGAACAAGGGAGAGGAAATGGCACACTCCTAAGTCCCACATACCTGGAGTGGAAGGGGCTGGGGGATGCGTGGGAGACACAGGTGGCCATGAGGGTGTAGCAGGGATCAGATCTTGTAGGGACTGTTAAGGCTTCCAGCAGGGACTCACGTTTGATTTTCGGGCGGAGAAATGAAAAGCAGGAGGAAAGGTCAGGTCAGGACTTAGGTAACCTAAAACTGACCCATGTCTAAAGTAAGAATAGGGCCGTGTCCGGGTTTCAGGGCCTCCCCCTCAACCACTGCAACGAGGGTGGGGCCGTCTCCGGCACCCTAGAGTCCCCAGCCACCTGGACCACCCCCTCTACAGTGGCCACCAAGGGGCGAGCACCTGGGCGCACGCTGCAGCCTCCGCCCGGAGCCTGGGCGAGCTGGGCGGGGCGGCTGCCGCGGCACCCTACCCAGCGCCTCGCCCAATCGCCGCGGGCCCGCCGAGCCCCAGGGGGCTGGGGCCGCCGCCGCGCGAACGTGCCGCGGCTGCGCTGACGCGCGAGCGCCGGGCAGGGCGGCGGGCGCGCACAGTCTGGCGGCAGCGGCCGTGCGCGGACGGACGTGCCGGGAGCGCCGCAGCGCCCGCGCCGCCCGCAGCCCCGCAGCGTCGCTCCGCCCGGCGGGCCGCACCCGCCCGCCCGTTCGCTAGCTCGCCATGGTGTCATGGATCATCTCCAGGCTGGTGGTGTAAGTTGCCTTGGTTCCCGCGGCCCCCTCCTCACTCTCCCTTCCCTCCTCGGCCCTGGCCTTGGCTGTGGCCCGGGGCTGCGCGCCCCTGCAGCGCCCGGCCCCAGGCACTCGGGCTATTAATACCCGGCGACCGCTAAATTTAGCAGGTACAGTAGCTGCCGAGGGCGTCTGCGAGGCGGGCGGCGCAGAGCGCGCGCCGCTGCAGCCTCCGGGACGCCGCGGGCGCTGGTGGTGACTCGCGGTGGGGGCCCAGTGAGCCGGTGGAGCTGGTGGAGGGCTGGGGTTCCCTCACCCCAGGGCGGTGGTGGGGAAGAACTCTGCGTCGCGGTACCCCAGCTGCTTTGTTTCCCCGGGGCGGGTGGGGTTTGCCGGGGCCTCGCGTGGGCGCGCCGCGGGGACACGTGGAGCGCTGCTTTGAGATAGATGCGGGGGTCGCGCGCCGCCGCCGCCGCCACCAAGCTTTTGTCAGGTGAAAACGAGCATGGGCGGCGCTGTCCTGACGGGGTCAGTGCCAGGACCGGCAAAGGACAGGCGGGGCCGCCCAAGTCACTCCTTTTTGGGTTTGATAAAGCCACAGCGGCCGCGCGGCAGGTGGGGCATCGGAGAGCATGTAGGCATCTGGGAGCTGGCACCTGGCGTCGCCCCCAGCCCCGGGTGTGGTTGCCTTTGGCTGGGGTTTCCGAGAGACCAGGCGATTTCCAAGTGACAGCCGCCGGTATGGTGGTGACACCGCCTCCCAGGCAGGCCCTTGCAGAATGAGAGCAGAGTATACTGGGGCAAGGCCTGTGTGAGGTCAACTGGGGGTGGGCATAGGGAGTCTTCCTCTTCAGCCCTTTGCGCCCCGGGGGTGAGTGGACATTGCCAGCACCTCTGGTCTCTTGGCTTTCTGAGCATCTGGACGCATCTCTTTCCCTCCTTAACTGGTTGGGACAGATTTGGCACCTGCTCTGAGACCAGCCCATTGCTGTGGGTGAGGGGAGGCCAGGGTGGGGCGCGCCTCTCGGGCCTTTCCTTTGTCTGAGGAACAGCCATCACTCTTCACTCTCGGACACTTCTCTCCATGCCTTGCCTTCCCTACTACTGATCTTTTCAAAGAGGCCATCAGGGGCAGCCTTCTGAAGGCATTCTCAGCATTGTCTCCCCGCCACATTTGTACGCTTTGCTGTCAACACCAAGAGCTGTGCTTCTGCCCCCTGCTCCGCCACCCCGCCTCAGGCCTTCCACTATGTCTCTCACTGCTGAGGATTTGTGCCTGACCTTGGAGTGGCTGGCATGTTAAATATGGAGGAGGCTTCTGTGGGCAGGCTGGCCCAAACAACGCCAGCTGGCATGATCTGCCCTGCTTCATCCCATCCCAAAGTCTGTGTCCTCTCTGGCGAGGTGGTCTCCCTCTTCAGGTGTCCTGGGACCCTCTCATTTGCCAAGTGCTGTAGTAGAGCTGTTCAGTTTGCTTGGCTTGGCTGCTGGGCTTTCATTGAGTCCTGCTGGGCTAGGGCTGGGGACTTGCAGTTCAGGGTCCTGTGGTCATTTTTGGTCTTACTACATCTGCTTCCCCTTCCTGCAGGAGATCCTGGGTGGGGTGGAAGCTCAGCATCTTGCTGTTACTTTTTGACAAGAGCTCCTTGGGTCAGCCCAGGACCCTCCCACCCCCCCGGGAGAGCTGGTGGGGTTTGGGGCTGTGAGTCCCCTTGTTAATTCTAAAAGGTCTGGGACATCACTTATACCACTCTTGTCCCAGTCTCTAATTCCTTGGATAAAGCCAGTATGAATGAAGAATTCACAAGCAATGGGTGTTCCATCATAGGGTGATTAAAAATGCAAATCAACCAGAAATCGCCTGCCTTATCACACCACTCAGAAGATGTCAGATGATGCTTGGGAAGGAGTATGTTTCTTAAAAAGTTTGCCCTAATGCATTTATATCCACATCTTTTTCAATTTATAATTTGAGGAAATTGTTCACCCAACCCATTATCTGCTATCATCAGAGAGTCTTCCCAAGAAGCAGGCATCCTGTGCATACAAGCACACAATCCTGGGTTCCAATTCCAGCGCTCTCTCTTGGAAACAGCCCCTCCCTCCTTTTGTGACTTGGATGACAGCAGATCCTGGGATATAGGCTGTCGATGCAGAGATTTCAATGACGTGGAATCCGTACATCATCAAGGGTGTGGCTCCACGAGACCTCCCTACCTCTGTCCTCCCCAGGGTGGTGTGAGGGTGCAGAGTTCTGCAAGGGGGCTCTTGAACTTCATCTGCAGCGGCTTCTCTGAGTGCCCCCTGCCCTAAGTGTCAGCACGAGCAGCCTCCCTTTTGTTGCTTTCATAGATTGAGGTTCTGGATGAAATATCCTTTGGAAATTATGGGCTTAACCGATGATAACAGCTGCCCAAGCCAGGCCTCCCTCCCATCTTAAAGCTTCGGAGGGAAGGGGCCTCGTCCCAACACACAAGGTAAGTGGATGAAGAAGAAAGGCTGTGGGCTTTTCAGTGTCTGTCCCTCTTCCATATATCCCCCACAGTTGTTCTAGATTGGCTCGTGCAGACGCTGGTAGGGGAACAGCCTATGGCGTTTATCCACAGGCCCTGTTTTCCTGTAAGTCATCTTTTTAGGATTTGTAAGCCTTTGTCACATCAAAGCACATTGAAGGAAGACATGACCTATGCTTTGAGGATAGTCAGGGTGTGTCTCCTGCTGCGCATCCAAGCTTTGAGATTTGCTGATGGCGTTCAGGGACAGTCGGCCACACCAGTGATTGGGGCTTGTTTGCCCCAACCTCTCCCAGCTCCCAAGGCTGTTGGCATATGAGTGCAGTCCAGGAAGGCTGGCTCTGTGGAAGGAGATCAGAGGCTGCAGCATTTGCAGGGAAACCTGGGCCCTGGGGAGAGAGGTCTTTGGGCACCAAGACAACTTGGGGTTCACTGGGCGTGAGAACCAGTCTGAGGTGCTTTTGTCTAGCCAGGTGACTTCTCATTGACTCCTTTGCCTCAACCTGGGAAGAATTTGAAAGAGACACTTAGCAGTGTGGCAGGGTTGACCTTGTTGGAATCTGCATGGGAAGTGGGGTGCTTCTAGCTTCCAAAACAACTTCTTTTCTTCTTTGCCCACAACTGGAGACTGAGGCACAAATGGATCTCGGGGGGGGGGATATGTTCAAGGGCATGGCATACAGGTTGCTCTGGCAACTTCTGGCAAAATGTGCATTTGGGGGTGTTAATGACAAGGAGCAAGAGTTACCTTGTTAGCTCTGGCCAAGGTCCAGCATGTTGACTGAATGGACCCAGCACCTTCTGCCCATTATGGGATTAGAAGATTGAAATGCAGTTCACTGGAGGGGTGGGACAGTAGGGGAACAGAAAGAATCTCAGTACAGCACAAGTATCTCAATAAATGAAGGTTGCACAGAAGTAAATTTTACTTGCACATTGTTCATCTTTAGAAAGTGTTAGCTTTTATAAAGCACTACTGGTCAAGACAAAATCTTGGTTTGGTGGCTGAAAGCTGGCCAAGGGACTAGGATTTGGAGCTTAACATGTATTTGTCCTAGATCAGGGATCTGACAGCAGAGGACATGACTGGAAGGAATGTGGATTGCCCTCAAGATGTTCCCCAAAACCAGTGGAAAGGAAAAAGGCAGAAAAGATCATACATCCTGAAATATAAGCTTGCCCTTTCTTTGGGGGCCTGCCCTTAACAAATAGAATGCAGGCAAAACGACCCAGCTAATAGAGGGTTCAGGTTGGGTGAGGATTTAATTCCTGGCACTGAAATGATTGGGGAAGTAGAAACTGGGGAAGGGAAACATTCCAGCTGAACTGTGGGAAGCAAGATGTTGGCTTGGAAGTCAGCATACTTGAGTCCCAGCCCCGGTGCTGATCTGACCCGCTGTTAGAGACCTAAGAGAACTCACACTCACTTCTCCATCCTGGGAGTTGTAGCTGCCTGTCCAAGAGATCCAGAGTGATGGTGGTGGTGGAGCTGATCAGCATCACATTGGAGATCCTGGTAGCTCTGGTAGTGCCTGTGAGCCCCTGCCTGTGTGCAGCCTGGGTATTTCTCCTCAAGGAAGTGAAAGCACCATCTTAGATGGCTCTGCCAGGCAGTTGTTCTCTCTGTTTTTTGACAGCACTGGCCTGCCTGCTGTGGCCACCCCATCTTGTTTGAGGGTAGCTGACAAGTGCTGGTCTCACTTGTTACAGCATGAGCCTGTTTTCTGGTCTGTCTTCTTTGGAGCTTGTATTAGCTACAGGAAGATTGAAGGGAGGGGAGTCTGCTGCTTTAGCCTCTTAGCAAGGCTGTCTTTTTTTAATTGTACATATGGTGTGTATACTTGTGGGTTAGGTGTCTCCATCCAGGCAACTTCTGGAGGCTTTGAGAAGGGGAAGACTTGCCTGTGTAGTAGTCATATACTTGGCATCTTTTGGATTTTACTGTCAAGAATAAGCCCCCCACACGCCCAACTGGTTGCCAGCATTCTCAGCCTTCAGAGCTTTTCCCAGCACCAGTGAGACCCAAAGGGGTTTGCTTGGAGTTGTTGGATGCTCTTCTCTCACTGCTGGTTCTTGGGAAGTAGATATATTTGTATATTTTATTCTGACCCTTCAGGCCTCTTCTGTCTTCATAGAGAAACATGATGTTTTCCCTTTGGAGTTTTTTAGTCATACCCAGGGGTTTTCCTAGGAACAAAAGAAGATAAAGGAAATAGACTCTTCCGTGGGTATTCCCAGGGGTTGGATGCAGGATTCCAGAGGACACCAAAATGCACAGATACTCCAGTCCGCTCTACAGAATGGTGTGGTTGGAGCAAGCATTGTGGCACAGGGATTAATCCACCACCTGTGACATCAGCATCCCATTTGGGAGTGCCTGTTTGATTCCTAGCTTTTCTGAATCCCACCTAGTTTCTTGGTAATATATCCTGGGAAGCAACAGATGATGACCCAGGTGCTTGGGAATGGAGTTGTAGGCTGTTGGTTTTGATTTGGTCCAGCCCTGGG